TGGATAGGTCGTGGATCAACTTGCACCGGTCGACTCCGCAATACTTGGCTGGTCTAAACTATTTCTTGGATTTTGCTTTCGCCAATGCTGCCGTAAATGGTAAGATTCAGTGTCCCTGTCCTAAATGTAATTTCAAAAAGTGGCATCCCAAAGATATTGTTAGGGAACATTTAATCTTTAAGCCTTTTCCGCGAGAGTACGTATTTTGGCAACTACATGGGGAACGGCTAGATATGGGTGCTGAGTCAGTGCCAGTAGTTTCACGGATGGGAGTTCGAGTGGATGAGGCCGATGCCGTGAATGATGCTGTGCGTGATGCTTTTGGTGTTCACGAAAGCTCGAATCCCAACGAAGATGAAGTAGAGGGACCTCAACCGGAGTTTCTAAGAAACGAAACTGCTCGGGAATTTTTTGACCTCATGACCGAAGCTGACAAGCCTCTTTATTCTGGGTGTACAAAGTATTCGAAGTTGTCATTCTTGGTGAGGCTGTATCACATCAAATGCTTGTGCGGTATGACTGACAAGGCGATGTCTATGTTGCTGGAATTACTGGGAGATGCTTTCCCCCAAGCTGAATTCCCTCCGTCTTTTTACGAAGCAAAAAAGATTATTAACAAGCTTGGCTTGAACTATAAGAAGATAGATGCATGCCCAAACGACTGTATGCTATACTGGGGAGATGATGCCAACAAAGAGATTTGTACGAGATGCAAGACGTCACGCTATAAGTCGGTACGAAAGGGCAAGAAGCAAAAGAAGAAACCGGCCAAAATTCTCAGGTACAAATTATTACAGCGTGTTACTTGTTCCGTCTCTAAAAATATTCGGTATTTTAAATTTTTAATATATTATTTTCTTAGATACTTTCCTTTGAAACCACGGTTGCAAAGAATGTATATGTCATCAAAAATGGCTCAGCACATGAGGTGGCACGCGACTGAGGAAAACCTAGATGGTAGGTTAAGGCACCCACGAGACTCGGAGGCGTGGAAAGCGTTTGATGCGAAATTTCCAGACTTTGCCAATGATCCTAGAAATGTACGTCTTGCATTGGCAACCGATGGTTTTAATCCCTTCGGAAACATGAGCACAAGTTACAGTATCTGGCCGGTGGTGTTAATTCCATACAATCTACCACCTTGGATGTGCATGAAGCAGAGCTCCTTTTTGCTTTCCATGATCATTCCTGGCAAGAAAGCACCAGGAAATGATATTGACGTATACCTGCAACCGTTGATACACGAATTGCTCGACCTATGGACGAATGGTGTTGAGGCATATGACTCACATGACAAGCAACTATTCAATCTCCGTGCAGCCTTGATGTGGACAATAAGTGATTTTCCCGGTTTGGGAACTTTGTCTGGCTGGAATGTGCATACTGGGTTGGCCTGTCCTGAGTGCAATTTTGATTCTGTGCCATGTCGCCTTCCACACAGTCGCAAGTGGTGCTTCATAGGACATCGACGGTTCCTTGATTCCAAGCACAGACTTAGATTGCAACGGATTCGCTTCGATGGGAAACAGGAGAAGAGAGATCCTCCTGTTACTTTGTCTGGTATGGATATTTTGCGGCAGTTAGAAGATGTTCATATCGAGTTTGGTAAGAGTGTGGATCCCGAACGATTGGGACGACGATCTCGTGGGACATCTGATACGCAACCTATGCAATGGCGGAAGAGAAGCATATTTTTCACTCTTCCTTATTGGGAATCTAATTTGCTACGACACAGTTTGGATGTTATGCACATTGAAAAAAATGTGTGCGATAATGTGCTATATACGTTGCTCAATGAAGCTGGAAAGTCCAAAGACCATCTCGCAGCTAGAAAAGATTTACGGGCCTGGGGAATTCGTGAAGAGGCTTGGCCTGATGAAAACGACAAGTTTCAGCCAGCTAAATTCACCTTGACAAAGCAGAACAAGGATATCTTCCTCTCGACGTTGAAGAACATAAAAGTACCAGATGGATATTCTAGCAACATCTCAAGGTGTATCGATCTGCAGGCTCGAAAGGTTACTGGGTTGAAAAGTCATGACTCTCATGTTCTTATGCAACAGTTACTTCCATTGGCCTTGAAAAACACACTTCCTTCTGATGTATCGGTGGTTTTGGTAGAATTATGTTCATTTTTCAAGAAGTTGTGTGCGAAGGTCTTGGTAGCGGAAGAGCTTGATCAGCTGCAAAATAAAATTATTCTTACACTTTGTCACTTGGAGATGATATTTCCTCCATCATTCTTTACTGTTATGGTTCACTTGACTGTCCACCTTGTTCGAGAAGCAAAGGTTGCTGGCCCAGTTCACTATCGATGGATGTACCCTATAGAGAGGTACTAGATTATCTTTTATTCCCGCCTCTTTAAATTTCACATTGTTCTTTCATTTACTCGTAATTATTAATGCAATTTTAACTTACAGGTACTTGGGAAAATTAAAATCATATGTTAGGAATAAGGCATGGCCTGAGGGGTCAATAGCAGAAGGTTATTCCGGAGATGAGGTCCTAACTTTCTGTTCGAGGTACTTTGATGACATGGAGACATCTTTTAACCGCCCGCGTTGCGTAGATGATTCTCCTCCCGGTCCTTCCACGTCAACTTTATTTCCTCCTGTTGGGAAACCAGTTGGAGGATATGAATTCTTCAGACTCACTCCTACAGAGAAACTCCAGGCACACAGACACGTTTTGATAAATTGCAGCCAAGTTGAACCCTTCATGCAGTAAGTATATATATCATATAAGCTCACTAGCTTTTACACTTTATATTTGTTTCTTACTGACTCTTCTAACAAATTACACTTTACTATAGTGAGTTTAGGAGTTATCTCAGGCGTCAGCTACGGGGCCGTGCGCGTTCTGCTGACATTGATAAAAGAGTCCACAAAGAGTTTCCCAGTTGGTTTACACGTCGAATACGTAATGACAACAGCCCATACACAGATGAATTCAGAGCTCTTTCTCTCGGTCCGTTAGACCATGCACGAAGGTTTACCGCGTACAATGTCAACGGCTTCAAGTTCTGTACGGTTGCACGTGATCAGGGATTGCTCACACAAAACTCTGGAGTTTGCGGGACATTCGGAACGAGATGTTATGCTAGCAGTAGTGATGGCGATATGCGCTTTGGAGGCGTCACTTACTATGGAAAGCTAATTGACATTATTGAGTTGACTTACCAGCTTTTCACCGTGACACTGTTCAAATGCTCCTGGGCAAATACGACAACTTCACGGGGACTCGCTACTGACCATTTGGGCATCACCTCAGTCAATTTCTCAAGACTTATTCATACGGGGGCATCTGAAGATGATGAGCCATATATCCTTGCTTCTGAGGCACACCAAATTTACTATGTCGAGGACGAGAAACATAAAGACTGGAATATGGTCGTTCACCTCAAGCCACGGGATCTTTACGATATGGGTGATGGTGACATTATTTACGACAGTGAACCCTTCCAACCCTCGAATTTTGAAGACTTCTTTCCTCAAGGAGATGATAATTTGCCACTTATCAGGTACACGTCTTTTCTTAAATTATTTAAATAATTAACTACTAATTACTAATTTTTTCCAAATACAACATAAATTAACAAATTTTTTTAAAATATGTCCTTTCAGGCCGGATGATGATGGAGAGTAGCAGCATCCAAAATAAATTATTTAACAAATTTTTCGTCCATAAATACATATGTATAAATTAAAATTCGTAAAAAATTTTTAAAAATAAAAAATTTTTCATTTGTACACGAAATTGTAATTTGTAGCGGTTAATAACTGCTACAAATTACAATTTCGTGAAAAAATTTGTAGCGGTTATGAACCGCTACAAAATACATACCTGTAAATTAAAATTCGTTCAGATTTTAAAAATAAAAAATACTAAATTTCTAGCGGTTAATAACCGCTACATATGTAACCGCTACTAATTACTAGCGCTTTTATATACGCTAGAAAATGAATAACAGCTACAAAATGTTATAAAACGCTACAAAAACACCGCTACAAATGTGTCGCTGATCTCTATAAATACCATATCTTCTCTACATTCATTTACTCCATCTCTTTTCCTTCCTCTCCTATTCTTCTTCATAATTCTCTCTTTTTTTCTTACTATCTCATATTGTGGTTTTTTTCTCTTTACTCTATGGTAAGTGAATTTTATTTTATAATTCATTGTATCTTTTATTTGTTTTTATTTAAAATTTACTAACATATTTATTTCTCCTTTCCTTTCAGATTTTTCTTCTCCACATTTGTCATGCCCTCCTCAACTGATTCAAATACTCATCAACTTAATACTATAGGTTCAATATTCCAAAATATATCATCTTCAATTCAACTATCTTATTAAATATTCAATTAAATTATCTTATTAGATTAAATTCACTTCTTTTAACACATTCATAATTTAATTACATATTTTTTATTACAAAATTTGAATATATAAAATGTAACATATAACTAATTATACAAATTAACAAAAATTCTTCAAAATAATTTATTTAATGGTTTTTAAAATTATAATATGAAAAACCATAAATTTTTTTTTCTAGCACGGTAAACATTTCTAGCGGTTCAGAACAGCTAGAAATATTTCGTCAAATTTAAATTTCGCGCCAAACTTTCTAGCGGTTAAAAACCGCTAGAAAAGTTTCCCGCCATTCTAAAAATTCAATTGGTGTGAAAATTTAATTTCCCAAACATTTCTAGCAGGTTTTATAACCGCTAGAAACTTTTCCCTGGAAAAAATTTCTAGCGGTTTTATAACCGCTAGGAATGTGTCTCCTTCAGATATTTTCTAGCGGTTCGAAACCGCTAGAAATTTTCTATCGTTTTGACCATGATGTGTAGCGGTTGCGATAACCGCTAGAAATTTTTTCTAACACCTGTTTTTCTAGCGGTTTCCTTAACCGCTACAAATGTTATTTGTTACGGTTAAAACCGCTAGAAATGTAACACCATAACCGCTAGAATTAACATATTTTTTTGTAGTGCGAGATCCTGAGTTGGCTCAACTCGAAGCAACCGAACTCGGTGCTTTACGTCTGCTTTGGAAGCGGCGCCTACTTCACCGACGAACAGCTGCTCGAAATAGCAAGTGCGATGGAATCCTCCGGCCACAAGTTCATCTGGGTGGTTCACAATAAAGGCCGAACGGAGAACGAAACTGAGGAAGACAGGCAGAAATGGATGCCGAGAGAGTTCGAAGAAAGGATGAGGCGGGAAGACAGGGAAATGATCAGACGTGGATGGGCCCCACAAACACTGATACTGGACCACGCCGCCATCGGAGCGTTCATGACGCACTGCGGGTGGAACTCGCTGATGGAAGGGATCTGTGCCGGAGTTCCGATGATTACGTGGCCGTTGCACAGCGAGCAGTTTTTCAACGAGAAGCTGATAACGCAGGTGCATGGGATCGGGGTGGAGGTGGGAGCAGATGATTGGGTCCTAAATATATACGTGGAGTATGCCACCAAGAATCTGGTAAAACGGGACCGCATAGAGAGCGCTGTAAGGAAGTTAATGGACGGTGGAGATGAAGCGATGGATATAAGGAGGCGCGTTGGAGAGCTCACAGAGAAGGCTAAGGCAGCAATCGGAGAAGGTGGGTCCTCACAAAGGAAACTGACGGCTCTGATTGAAGATCTTCAAAAGCTGAAATCTATGAGAACAAAGGGTGGGATCGATGACACAAAAGAGGGAGAATTTAGAAGAGAGAAGTAGTGATGAATGAGTCCGACTGGGAATTCTTCAGCTCCTCTTTGCCTAAATCATCTTGCATTTCATTGTGCGCGTGCTTTTTTGTTTCGGCAGTTCTTAAGATGACATCTGGAACTTGATTTCTGTATGTCATCTACTCATCTTCTATCAAGCTTTCGCTTGCCCTTCATCTGAGAAAAAAAAAAAAAAAAGATTTCTGCGTTCTGTGTGCGTGTGGCAAGGAAATTTGATAGACAATATTTAACGGTAAGTCATAAGAAAAACCAAATGATACAATTGGTCTAGGTTACTACATTGATATTATTTTTAATGGCCGTTTGACCAAATAAACGCGTCAACTAAACTACATCTCTATCCTTAATACTACTTCCGGTCCTTAATTAAGAGCTAGTTTTATATTTAATTTGATTCTAAATATAAAAATCCAATTCATTTTATTTCTCATGTTTATCTATTTTTTTAAATAGTTCTTATAGTAGTTACATATGTTAAAGATTATATCAAATGATAATTTTATCTAATACACATTATTAATAAGGGTATTCTAGAAAAGACAACACATATTTATTACTAACAACCAATCAACGAACTTTTTTAATGTAGTCAAATTAGTTAATTAGCTCTTATATTAAAGACCAGAAGTATCATAAAATTTAGTCTGTAGTTCAATTTGAATTACAGAGATAGCATTATTTCAAATATTTGGTTGTTCAACTGTTTAACTATGTCATATGCATTACTACCTTTGGTCCTAATTATAAGAATTAGTTGACTAATTTGAGGAGATTAAGAAAAGAAGTTAAGTTAGTTATTTGTAATAAATAGGTGTTATTTTTCCTAAAATATCCTTGCTAATAAAGTGTATTGGTTATAATTACTATTGCTAGAAGGATTACTTTGGGAATAAATACATAAATATGAGAGACAAAGTAGATTGGGGTCTTATATTTAGAACCAAAATAAAAGTCAAACAATCATATTAAAGTTCATTAAGTGGGAAAAAAATGATCAAAAGAGTAGTTTTTTATTCACTGTTTTTTCCATCAATGAAATTACAGCTTTTACTCATTCATTGTACTGTTTGTTGTGGGGACAATGTAAAAAATGCGATGGATGATATTTTCGTCAATATATAGGATGCTGCTTACATGGTTCTTTCCCGCAAACCAGTGATTGTTAGAAGTATTGATCATTAGTACGAGGAAGTAAGGGGTGTTGTTAAGATGGTCGGTCAAGGTGCTACGGGAAAACTCATTAGCTAAGAAAACTTTTGAGGAGTAGATGGGATATAATCATCATCATTGGTCAGGTTGTGCTTTGTACCAGCTCATGAATATAAACAAAAAATTAAGATGCATTCAACACTCTAAAATATTTTTTTAAATATATTCAATGTTCTATAGTATTTTGAAGTTAATTCAATATCTGAAAATATTTTTCTAGGCACATCTAGCAACTTAAATTTGAAGGTTAGGGTTAAGTGAAGGTACTCTAGTTTTTTTTTGAAGTATTTTTCAGGAGCAAATTTCATCACCTTACTGTTAACCTATTGAAAAAAATTCATTTAAGTAAATGTATTTGTTCTCTTCCATGTTTTCAGTGCTGAAAATGATTGAGGATTAGGGTTCAAAAGATGGAAGATAGAAAATATTTAGGATCAGATGATCAGGAAAAAAAATGAAAAACTAATTATTAAAATTATTAAAGATAGGTACCAAAAATATGAAAAAAGAGGGATAAAAAATTAACTTAGAAAAATAATGGAACTGCAAAATTGTATCATAAAATACTCTAGGATATTAGATATATATAAAAAAATATTTCAAAATATAGAATAAACCACAAAATACTTTAAAACACTAGACACATCAAAAAAATATACTCAAATGTGCTAGATGCACTTGACCCTCCACAAAGATCAATGCTTCCTCTTTTAATAAGGTATACTTTATATTTGAATCATTATCATTATCACTCTCCTCCATTCCTATACCATCACCTCTAGCACAGTTCTCTTCCTCCCAATCCATATTTCACCTGTGAGCATGTTACAAAAGAAAATTGCCAATTGTGCATATAGATGTAGTATGAGAGTCATAGAAAGTAAATATTATTTACATGGTACCAACAACATATTCAAATTATTATTACATCTAAAAAAACAAAATTGAATTATTGATTAGTGCTTATTGTTATTTGATCCATATAATTATGATTATGCTATCCATGGGATTACAATGTCTATGGTAAATGACAAAATATTTTCCATCTAAGTCTAACACCCGGAATCCATAAACATTTGTTAACTAAATTTAACTAATATAATACAACAAATCCAAGAATTATAGTCAAATCGTAACTGTAACTAAACCCTTGGAAGAATCACTAATTGAATTGATAAATTAACAATGGTATGCTAAAGCTCAGTACCGTTTTATATTAACAATAGTTTACGTCATATCAATATGAAAATAAAATAAAACAAGGAAAAAGGCTGTAACAGGCGTAATGAAGATTAGAGAATTAGCATTTTTCACTTCAACGGGTGGCTGAAATTATTTCACAAAAACCAAACAAAAAACAAAGCAATAATGGAACAAAATCTCATAGTGTGAAGAAATAATACAAAGAACAGAGCAATAATAACCAACCAAATACAGACCACACTTCGAAGAGGCCAAAACTTCACGAAGAAGAACGACTAGTTCTACGGCCACAAAGTTTAACAAAAAAAGACCACAATGGGATGGAATCAAAGTAATTGATAGTAATAAAAAAGATGAAGAAGAGCCTCTGTTTTACTTTACTTTGCTACTCCAAATCAGAGCAAAGGGTTTTAATAATCAAAGATAACAAATTTTTTCTCACCCTTCAACACAGCTAAAAAGACAACCACAATACCACCACAATCAACTATCAGAGGCGTCGCTGGAAACTCATCGGGAACTTGGTCTCCCCCGATGACCGCTCAGAATTCCGGCATAACAAAGGTGGGTCCGCCTTGACCAAACCCTCCAATCCCTTTTGTTTTCAAATCCTTTCTGGTGCTCCCTGCTATGCGTTTTATGTTTGACCTTTATTTCTCTCTTTTTTTTTAAATATTTACACGTCAAAGCACAACCAACATTTTTTCCACATCACCTTGTCCAGTCATCAAGCCATATAAGGAAAATAAACACTGTTAGTGACAGCTCAGCATTTTTAACACTGTTATTTTGGGGTTCAGGTCCTTCTTAAACTATAGGGACTAACATTTGAAATGGGAGAAAATTACAAGGACCAAAACTTGTGGTTTCAAACTATAAGGACCAAAACTAAAATGAGATAAAACTATAGGGACCAAATATTATATTAATCCTTTAACAATTATAAAAGCAAAATAATATTAAACCTGAATCATTTGATCTTAATCTAGCTGATCCAGGCCACATGCATAAACACAAAAACCTATTGCCAGGCAAACAAATTTTCTTTGAATTTGGTTGAAATTATTATTGTGTATATCTAATTTTTTCCGTAAAAATATATAACTCTCATGTGTGTGTATTCAAGTCCTGTACAATTTTCTTTTATTCCTTCAGTTTTCTTCTACACGTACATTTTATACAATCTTATTTTTATCTTTCCATATTTCTTGATATGTTTCAATAGAATAAGGTAGAGGAAGCTAAGTTTCTATACTTCCTAAGGAGTGATTACCACTAATGTATTTCGTAACTTTTTTTTTAACAGGATTGAACCAAAGAAAAGACACAAATGCATAAATAATCATAATCACCATCTGATCTGAAAGAAGGAAAAAAAAATCATAATCATTTGTTTTATTGTTATCATTATAGGAAATAAAACTTCCAATACACTTTCGAATGCATCCTAGTATAACATCTCAAAGGTAACCCCTAGCTAATACTATATCATTTTGTTTATTATTAAAAATAACCCACGAGCAATTCGTGTTGACCTTTTTTAAGAACATTTCTTAATAAAAACAAATTAAATGAAGGACGCTGATCTTTGTCTGGCCTTGTGCCTTGTTTAGCAAGATTTTCAGCATTATTCCAAAAAAAAAAGAGAGTAGGAGTTATGTATATGTGTCCCTCCAAAAAAATTTTTATCTCAAGCCCGAAATATAAAATCTGGTTTATGTTACAAATTATGTTACAAACAAGATATTTTATTTAGAACTGGAGGTAGTATTACCTATCAGTGTTACCTCGTTTATTTGTAGATATAATTTATAGTGTAATTTGCATTATAAATTTAATTTTATATTTCGGACGGGTGGTAGTAGTAATATTTGGCATGTAGCTAGATAATGAACTTTCACTAGTAACGTATACTGAGACCTAATCATAGTTAAAATGGAACTTCATTATGAAAATAAAATTAAGTAATATATATATATGTCGAGTTAGGATTTAATCACACGCAAGATAGAGATAAAATATATATATATATATATATACACACACACACACATACATGGTATGATGGTATGCAATTTAAATAAATTTTATAAACTAAATATTCATGGCACTTAATATAACACCCAGCACTGCTTTATAGATTGAAAAGTGAAGTTATAACCGGGGGAATTACATCAAAGAATTAAATTTAAAAATTATTTATTAAATGTGATACCAAATTTACCCTCAGAATCAAAAAATTCCGGGACACGAGAGATGCGAGGAACAATTTTTAAAACGGTAAAACTCATTGGTCCGCTCAAAAAGGGCACATTGGTGCCCTTTTTTGCTGTGATGGGTCATCATCCAACACCTTTCCACAGGCATAATTTCTCGTACTTTTTGTCATCACATGCTTCATGGGAGTAAAAATTATATGATTTTTGAATTAAATGATGATGCCTATATAATTTAATTAAAATTCAGTCCAAAAAAATAATTTAGCGAAAATTTAAGAAAAATCTCACAAAAACTAGCTTCGAATTTCTAAGTCACTAATAAAAATGTGTTAATATTTTCAAGTCTGATGTTGTTAAAGCCTATTAAAAATATTGTTATCAAACTTAACTTGAGATTCATTAATTCCAAACTTTTTCCTGGGAGATTCTCCCTAAAATTTATTCATAAATAAAATGATGCACGTAATATTATTGTTAAAAATATACATTTACGATGTTTTGACTTATAAGTTGGATCATAAAGATACAAAAAAAACCACATATAAAGGTTCTCTTTCAATTAATAAGTCTGCAAATTCCTATAATTTTACCTAATTTTGAATTAGATACTTATAATATTTTTTTATTATTGGATCTTTAGACTTCTTTTACTTCAATAAATAGTCCTTTTCATATTTCGTTCATACTGCTTTAAAAGGTGTTACTTATTCTAAGAACATTCTTATAATGATGTAAATGAATTAATAGAAGAGAAGATGTCAGTCAAAAATGAATTATGCTACTCTTAACTTACAAGAAAATTTTTTAAAAATTTGCTTTTCAACGGGCCTAGATTAATCGGGAGCAGTACCTGTGAAGGATCTCCTAACGAATGGCTTGCCTACCACTCTATGCTGTTGCGTTTTCAAACAGGATCGAACTCCTGATTTTGGTTAAGTTCAAACGACGCCACAGCCAGTCAGTTGATCTAAGCGTTCGGTACTGATCAAACTATTTTTGATCGTCTATAAATTACATTTTCACAACCACCATCCTTATCCAGCTCATTCTCTTTCACAATGGAAGCTCATTCCCCTCCTTTGAAAATTTACTTCGTACCCTTCGTGGCTGCCAGTCACATTGTTTCACTCTTCGAACTCTGTCGTCTATTCGCCTCACGTGGCCTGCACGTGGCCATCCTCACCACTCCTTCCACCACCCGCTTCCTTCACAATTCCTTGCTCAAGGCTCACGCTGCTGGCCTTCGAATACATGTCCACAACCTCAAGTTCCCTTCCCAGGAGGTTGGTCTCCCTGACGGCGTCGAGAATCTCATCGGCGTCGAGGACTTCGACGTTGCCGCCAAAGTGTACCAGGGAATGCGCCTCCTCCGCCATCAAATGGAGCAGTTCATGGAGCCAAACCCGCCCGACTGCATCGTCGGCGACATTTTTCACCCTTGGACCTCTGACTTCGCGAACCGATTGGGAGTCCCACGGTTGTTGTTCGATGGATCCGGCTTGTTTGCCGCCTGTTTGTCGGAGTCAGTCTGGCGGCCTGACTCCCGCACCGCTTTGTAAGCTCCAAATCCGACCCGTTTGCCCCTTCTGGGTCTTCCCCATCCGATCACCATGACTTTTTCTCGGCTTCCAGACTACATCCAAACTACGAACGGAGTAACCACCATGATGGAATCGTTCAGAGACTCGGAACTGAAGTGCTATGGCCGTATCGTCAACAGCTTTGCAGAGCTCGAAGAGGAATACATTGAGCACTACCGGAAAACCATGGGGAAAGCAGTCTGGCACGTGGGCCCCACTACCCTCCTAAACAGGTCATCGGAGGACAAGGCGGAGAGGAACTTGGAGGCGGTGGTGAGCGAGGACGAGATCCTGAGTTGGCTCAACTCGAAGCCACCAAACTCGGTGCTTTACGTCTGCTTCGGAAGCGCAGCCTACTTCACCGACGAACAGTTGCTCGAAATAGCGAGTGCGATGGAATCCTCCGGCCACAAGTTCATCTGGGTGGTTCACAGGAAAGACCGAACGGAGAGCGAAACTGAGGAAGACAGGCAGAAATGGATGCCGAGGGAGTTCGAAGAAAGAATGAGGCGGGAAGACAGGGGAATGGTCATACGTGGATGGGCCCCACAAACACTGATACTGGACCACGCCGCCATCGGAGGGTTCATGACACACTGCGGGTGGAACTCGCTGATGGAGGGGATCTGTGCCGGAGTTCCGATGATTACGTGGCCGTTGCACAGCGAGCAGTTTTTCAATGAGAAGCTTATAACGCAGGTGCATAGGATTGGGGTGGAGGTGGGGGCAGATAATTGCGTCATGATCATGGAGCATGCCACGAAGAATCTAGTGAAACGGCACAGCATAGAGAGCGCTGTAAGGAAGTTAATGGACGATGGGGATGAAACGGTGAAAATGAGGAGGCGCGTTAGGGAGCTGGCAGAGAAGGCAAAGGCAGCAATAGAAGAAGATGGTGGGTCCTCACAAATGAATCTGACGGCTCTGATTGAAGATCTTCAAAGGCTGAAGTCTATGAGAACAAAGGCTCGGATTGATCATGAATAGAAGGCAATGAATTTAAAAGAGGGATGAATAAGGCTATCTAGGAACTCCTTGGATTATCATTTTGTAATCGCCTTGGATTTTATGTGTGCCTTTTTTTTTCTAGGTTAACAGATGGATCTGTGTGGGCGTGTTTAATTTCGATTTTAATTAAAAAAAATTTGAGTGGAATAAGGCAAAATAAGATAATAAGGAAAGGTTGAAATCAATCAACTCATGAAGCGGGGGAAAAAATATTAAAGAGATCAATTTTATATATTAATCGCAGCTTTTCCATGCATGAAAGCTTTTACCTTTTTTTTTGTGAATTTTTATTTATTTGCTTAGGGAATATCATTTGCAATTCTTGAACATTATTCATTCGTTTTATCAGGCACGTAAATCAAAGCAGCAAAAACCTTCGTTTTCAAGTCCCTTTTGTTTTTTAAACCAACAAGAGTTGGTCCAATTGGTAAGGAGTCAGCTCATAATTCACAAGGTCATAAGATGAATCCCATTGCTGATATGATGACTTTGTTGGTGGATGATCTGTAAGTACCTCTGTAAGCGCTTCTGAGCCTGGAGGCATGTCCTTGTCCAGGTGAGCTCCCGGGATCTAACTGACCTAACCAAAACTTTTTATTAGAGCAGGTTAAGATTGCTCTGATTTTACAACTTCCTGGATGACATTGCTCCAAAAAAAACTTGTTCGCAGTTAGTGCCCTTTTGTGGAAACTTAGGAGGCAAAAATAGCCTTGCTCCCTTTTTGAAACAATATTATTGTTTTAATAATTAAACAACGCACACTAACATTATAGAAAGGTAATAATATGATGAACATCCTGCATTAATCAACCCAACATATGATAATATAAATACAATAAACTGTTCGTGATTTGCCCTAAATTATTGAGGATAACACGTGAGGTGAAGGCCGAGTAACTCCCTTTAATTTTTACGCCATGAGAATACAATTAAACATCCTTCATATATAACACATGATTCACAATAGACTTTTTATATAGCTTAGGTTCACTAATTAATTCATGCATGGTCTTGACCAACTAACTTCAAATCTTAACAAAAACTAATATCAGTTTAATATCCCGGCCCAACAATATAATTACTATATTAAGATTACATCTTAAAATACAAGAATGTTCAATGAATTAAATCAATCACACAATTCTTCTGCCCATTATTGTCCAATATTTTTTAAGTTTATGTACATATTTCTTTGAGTTTAATCTAATTATTTTATTTTTTAAATATTTTAATTTCCCATATATTCAAACATTAAAAAACAATATAATTTCCGGGGAAAAACTTGAATTATTATTTTGTCATTGCACATCTTCTGTAGTTTGTTTGCTTATATAGGTTTTGGCAAGTTATTTCAGGTGAAAGATTAAATTTCATGACAAAAAAATTCCTAAAACGTTTTACCAATTTTATTAAATAAGAGGAAGCATTAGCGAACACGGAATGTATTATTTGGTTTAAACACACACACACACAATGCATTAGTGACCTGACCCCTCCAAGCAGCCAGCACACATAACCGGGGAAAAAAAAAAACAAATCCATGATTCGATTTCTAATTCTGGAGTACTCCGCCGGTATCTTTGGTAGCTTCAGATTGCCGGAAGCGTTGGAGTTCTTCAATCAAAACCGTGAGATTGTTGTGAGAAGATCCACCTTCTTCCACCGCCTTCTTCGCCTTCTCCGACAGCTCCTTTATTCGGCTTCTCATCTTCGCCGCCTCTTCTCCGCCGTCCATCACCTTCCTCACGGCTTTCTCAATCATGTCCTGCGTCACCAACTTCTCCTTCGGCTCGTACGCCGTCAGCCCGTACTCCTCGCACCCCACTACCGCACCGCAGCCGTGGACCTGAGTCACGAGCTTCTCGTTGTAGAAATGGTCGAAGTACAACGGCCATGTTATCATGGAACGCCGGCGCTCACGCTCTCTAGAACGGAGTTCCATCCACAATGGGTCATGAACCCTCCGACCGCCGGATGGCCCAGAATCAACAGCTGTGGGGCCCACCCTCTTATGATCATACCCTTGTTCTCGCTCTTCATCTTCTCTTCGAACCCTCTCGGCATCCATTTCTCCCTCTCTTCTTCTGTTTCGTCCTCTCTCTTTCCGAACACCACCAAGATGAAGTTGTGGCCGGAGGATTCTATTCCGCGCGCTATCTCGTAGAGTTGGTTGTCCGGGAAGCTCCACGCGCTTCCGAACGCGATGTACACCACCGAGTTGGGTTTCTTCGAGTTCAAGAAACTCAGACACTCTTGCTCTCCCACCACGCTCTTATGGCTCCTTTGAGTTTTCTCTTCGGTGGACCTGTGAATAAGCGACGGTGGTCCGATCGGCCAGAGCTTCTTCCCTGTGAATTTCTCGTACAGCTGCGTGTACTCCACGTCGATCTCGGCGAAACTATTGACAACGATGCCATGGCTTTTCAACTCTGCTTCTTTCATAACTTTCCCAAACTCATCAACACCCTTGGGTAGTTTCGCAGGATTTGGAAGCTGAGACATTGTCATGGTAATCGGGTGGGGAAGCCCCGGCACAATGAACGGGTCGGAGTCGGATTTTAGTGTCTTCTTGAAGTCATCATCTTGGAGGAGTTCCCCGGTGGATTTTATCATGCAAGCGGCGAAAGCACAGTAGGGGAAGAAAACAAGCCTGGGAATGCCAAGCTTTTGAGCCAAATCCGTGGTCCAAGGGAAGAAGAAGTCGGCGACGATGCAGTCGGGCGGGTTTTTCTCTATGAATTCCTCAATGGGTTGCCGGAGAAGACGAAGGGCCATGTGGATTTTGGCAGCTCCGGCGCCGTCTGATACGGCGACGAAATTCTCAACACCTTGGGGCAAGCCCACCTCTTGGGAAGGAAAATCGAAGGTCTGAAATCGCAAATGGCTATGAGGAGTACTGTGGAAGGATTTTCCGACGTTGGAAGGGGTGGTGATGATTGTGACGAGTTGGCCTCTGTTAGCGAAGAAACGACCCAACTCGCAGAGAGGAACCATGTGGCCTGGTCCTGGATATGGCACGACGTAGACTTTGAGAGGACGAGCGGAGCAAAGGTCCATGGCGGCGGTGATTATTTCAGTCAAACGTTGAGCTTGAAACTTGCAATTGCCGACTGAACAAGGAAGAGGTTGTGTCTATACCATGATGCTGTCGGCGTCTAACTTGATTTTATTTATGCTGATAATTTTTTTTATTACTTTTATTTTTTTAATGATTCACGGAAATAGAACTATACATGCCTCGCGAGGAATGCGTTTTCATTTGCTCATCCATTAAAATAACCCGCGAAGAGCACGCTAGCTATATGAATACTATTCCACGTACATCTGAGTGTGGTTCAATTTCTTGTTTATGCATTCTTCAGGAAAACTCCTTCCCAGTTATTTCTTGTAAAATAAAAAAAAGGCCATGAGTTAGAGCAGTTTGGCTGATTAGTGATGAAAAAAGTTGACACTAACATGTTATGTTATGAATGTGTTGGAGGTCTTTGTAAGAACATGGTGGGGCATATTTTATAGTGATAAAGTGGTTTAGGCTGTGTATGGTATGAAGGATTTGGAAAGGAGGAAAGGGAGAAGGAAGGATTTTAATCATTTCATTTTGTTTGGCAAAATAAAAATTTTAGGAGGGAAGAAAAATTTTATAAGATTTTAATTTCCTTCCCCTCCCCTCCAAAATTGGGAGGATTTAAAGGGAAAGAACAATATTTTGCCATGTTGTGACCATTATGGACATTGAACTTGAGACTAATCCCTTTTGGGTTTGGAGCGGTTAAGGAATAGCCCTCCGAATAAGTGCGCTTCTCAGGATGCGAATTTGTGTTCTCCTCCTTATGAGGGTGAGGTTGCTACCACCTCAACCAACAGCTTGTTGGTTATGCCCATGTTTATTTTTAATATTCTTATATCATCCTAAACTCTTTTCTTCTTCTCTCTGGATGCAAACGCTACTCTCTCATTTCCCATACCTGACACAAAGTCAATATAATAACAAACAGATTGTCCATGTCATATTTTGAAGAGTTCAGTCAAAAGCCAATAAATAACAAAGAGATAAAAATTAAAACATATAATAATTATTAGGGTTAAGGTGCGCTCAACACCGAACTATTTTTCAGGTGCGTCCAGTACCCTAAAGTAATTTTCAGTGCATCCAGTGTCCCAAACTAATTAAAACGGTGCATCCATATCCTAGGCTAATATAAAAGTTAAGTTTGACCGTCACCTTGCTAACTCAGCCGAAGGTTGATTGAAAAATCCTATGTGGTAGACACGTAGGCATCTGATGTGTATTATTTTGACGAGTTAAGATGCGCTCAGCACCCTGAACTATTTTCCAGGTACGCCTAGTGTGCTAAAATAATTTTTAGCGCATCCAATGTCCCAAACTAATTAAAACAGTGCATCCATATCCCAAACTAACAGAAAAGTCTCGTTTGACCGTTGCCTTACTAATTTAGCTGAAGATTGACTGAAAAATTCTACATGGCGGACACGTAGGTGTCTAATGTGTATTATTTTGACTAAAGCTCCCGAGACGAGCCCAGTGGTGGCGAGTGTTTTCTCGAAAGGCGACGGCGAAGTCAACAGAGTGACCAAGGAGAAGTTTAATGTGTTCTACGTGGAGGAAAGCAAATGCGAGTCGGATGAAGAGTTAACACAAGATGGAGATGGAAGTGTGCTGTGACGGCGATTGTGGTTTCAGATTAGAGTGGTGGAAGAAATGGGATAAAATGTTAAAGACGAGGATGGAATTGAATAGGTGGTACATGCACCAGAATTTAAGAGGGTGGATCGGTGGTCTTTTTTTTTTAAGTTTAAAAACTGGCAGAAGATAAATGTTAGAAGAGGAGGAAAAATTGAATTTTCAGTTAAAATAATACACATTAGACGCCTGCATGTCCGTCATGTAGGATTTTTCAGTCAACATTTAGTTGAATCAGCAAGGTAACAGTCAAATAAAACTTTTCTGTTAGCCTGGG